CCCCAACCCAACCCGCTCCTCTCAAATTGAGGAAAACCAAGCTGTAATGTTAGTGTTAGTATACACACACGACTGAAAACAGGAGAGACGAACACACACGATACCAAGTCAGTGATCAAAATGATCCGGGGTGCAGTTTCTGACTTTTTATGTTGATCCCCGAAGTGAGTTGCATTAACCAAAAAGCCTATGACATACGGGGCTTTTCCGGCCCGTGTATAAAAAAGAGTAGGCCCTAAGGTATGAAACTGTGACGAGCGTGACACGAGCCACGCTCAAATGTATCGATCCCAACAAATGGAGGTTTGACGAAACTTTCTGCTATTTGCACAACGTAGATCTGCGCCAAACGTTACTAAACTGTGGATGGATTATCTGCTATTGTTTCTGAGTGCAACATGCTACATCTAGATCTAGTAGAAGTACAACTACAGTTGCTGCTGCTGTGGTTGGCTGTTGTTGCTATATGAAAGACATGCATCACTGCAAGCAGATTTTTTTCAGTGTTTTTTTTTAGGGGGGTGGGGGTGGGTTGACCCCTGAAGACACGAATTCGATTTCCAAACGGTTAGGGCGTTTTTTTCGATGAGTTTATCAATTTTTCAGCAAGGAAGTAGTGTTCAGGGCTGCCTATTTCCTAATTGATTCAAACTACGTAGATTTGGGGGTAAAATTTTAAACTTGTACAATCAACTTTGCAGGAAGTAGTTCTGGAATTGGCGCCGCAGTGGCTAAACTGATGGCAAGACGGGGGGCAAAGGTCACTCTTCATGGACGCAACCAGGCCAATTTGGACGCAGTGAAGGAGGAGATTGTCCAAGTTACCGACATCTCCAGCGATGTGAGTTGACATGGTTGAGGCGATATATCTGTTCGAGGGCAGGCACCACTGTCGTCGTTTTCGTCGTTGTCATCATCATCATCATCATCATCATCATCATCATCATCATCATCATCATCATCATCATCATCATCATCATCATCATCATCATCATCCTCCTCCCTATCTCTATAATATCGTTAAGGTCGCGTTTGCCCTCATTTTTTTCCCAGGTAATCAGCGTCACAGGTGACGTCACAGATGCTGCAGTGAGAGAGAAAATTGTGTCTGAAACACTGGACGCTTTTGGCCAGATCGATATACTGGTGAGCCTGGCTTTGCCTGTTTTTAAAAAATCACTTAATAATAAAAACAATAATAAT